TAGGCCCCATTCAAATTTTTGTAATCACCATTAAAACATTATGTTTATGAAATGGACAAAGTCCGACAATTAATTTAAGACTATATTTTATATATTTATTTATTTTTGTATCTATAAAAAGAATATATAAACATAAAAATGTCTTAAAATAATTGTCGGTCTTTGTCCATTTCAAAATGTGTTATGTCATTTGTTTACATTTGATACGTCATGAGCAGATATGAATGTAAGTGAGAGATTCATGGAAGATTGAAGTTTAAATACAGTGAATTCGACCTTGCTAACAGAACGCTCCTCTGTGGCCAAATCGGTAAAGGCACGTCAAGCTAAATGACGGTTCCGTATAGGATACAGGTTCGAATCCTGTCGGAGGACGAATATTTTCTGTGAAAATTTCTCGGACATTCAGGCCGGTAAATGTTATTAATACATTTTATTATAAACAGAGCATTTACTTAAATATTTGTATCTATAAAAAGAATGTATAAACATAAAAATGTCTTAAAATTTATGTTTATATTATAAAATACATGAACATAATTAGTTTCCACTAGTACGGTGTTTGTCGCTTTGCTGACGGCAAGATGATCAAATTTTAAATCTAAATTGTTTGTCCATTTTATATATTATATTTGTTTTGTTTTGTTTTACTACTTATCAAACTCAGTGGCCGACAAGATTTTTTATTGTTGGCAATTTTTTTTTTTTTTTGCAAAAAATGTATAACATAAAATTTTCAAAAAATGTACTGCTGGTATTAAAACCTATTTTTATACTGTTGTAACCCGGGTAAGGTTACTGAATAGAATAATCAAATGAAGGTTGGTAATGAACGATAATACTTAGAACAAGAACAACACATATAAGATTCGCCAGCGGCGCGTAGAAGTAGTAGTCAACTGGTAGAAGTGAGTCAAGTAAATTCTCACAATGAATCTTCAACTGCAGGATATCTACCAACCGCCTCACGTGGTCAGATGTGGCACAAGGCCGAATTTAATGTGGGGTACCAAAAATTTCTCGTAGACCCCGTATAAAACTGGCTCGGGTAGCTGTTTCCAGAAACGAGACTTTGCCCTTCGACATAGCCTCGTCTGGGGATCCTCCCTGTCTGGAGGCAGAGAGTGTAACCAGAACAGCTGGAGACGAATCTCCAATTGCAGACCAACATACAGTATTTACTATTGTATTTATGTGAATGAGGACATACTCGTTATCGTCCGTCGGTATGCTACAACATATGCTTTCATAGTGTTTCATCCCTTTTTTTGTTTTGGTGGGGTGGGGGGTAACTATTTGCCAATATCTGGAACCCTAACAGGTGTTACCACACCGGGTCAGGGTGGACCTGGCAACATAAGCAATTAAGAGGTGGTTCCACGCTCCTCAAAACCTCCTGATCAGAGGCCTTGCTGCCGGATGTAGTTTATTGTCTTACCCAGGATGGCATATTATATTCATTAGAAAATAGTTTCAAATGCATGTCATAAAATGACTTCAAAGAGTGACACATTAGCTTACAGCCTTTTCCTGTTACCCATGGTTGTTGCCAGTCAGAAAGGGAAATTAAGCCCTGTAACATAGATTTCAGTTTTATTGAAATTGCGTCTCTATATATGCCTGCGTGTGCACATACATATTTTAATTTAATGACAGTCCTGAGAATATACTAATGCTCTAATGTTCACTCAATGCAAAGCATAAGAACCACTCAAGGCAGAGGGTTACTGTGTGAAATTGTATTAGCACCAAAAAGGACAAGGTTTAGGAGTATTAGCAGATCACGACATCTATCAGAGAAATCAAATTTAAATTTTTATTGCGTTATTCCAAAATTTTAACACATCAGCAGATAGCTATTAATGTCAACAACTGAACACAAATAGTTATTAATTAAAAAAATTAGTAATTAATATATAATATTACTACATGTACAAGAATGTCGTTTTTGATAAAGGTTAAAAAATAACCATGAATACGTAAAAAATGCGTATATTTTCGAAAATTCCTTTTTCCACAATATAGTTATTTGAGCTGTTATGCTTATTTACCTACTGGATAATTTTTTTTAGACATTAAAGTGTATTCAATCACATCTCCCTAACAGCTGTAGCGATCTGTGAGTTGAAGTATATTTTAGAAGGAACTGGAAACCCAGTCGTAAACGGGAAACAAGGGGTAAACCTCTGCTCCTATTTGAAAGACCGGGGCGGGTGGAATGTAAACTGGGCGATATCAACAAATTAAAAATTTATTATCCGGCATGTTTCTTTCCGTTTAAGTAACCCCTTGTATCCTAGTGGATTTTAAAAAAATTATTTACAAAAAAAAAAAAAAAAAAAAAAATACATGACAGCAAACGCAAGATGGCCACGTTTAAGCCTTAATTCATGTTCAAATATTTAGTATTTAATCTATTCTACTTTGAGCGAATTAGACTTCTTTGTGATTCAGAGGATGAATTTAAGAGTGACAACGAAACGAAAACCGCTTCTGTCATATTTCCCGCCAATTTCCCAGTTCTCTGCAAGTGTAAAGCTTCGTCACAGGGTAATAGTGTCTTGACAATCTGTCTGCTTACATTTATTCGGATGTCTGTCTTTCTGACAAGGGATCATCTTCTCCCGCCATTTTTTTATTTTTTTATTTTTTGGAGAGCTCTGGCAAGCGGAGTGTTTCAATATTTTTTTAAAACATTTGAAACATACTTCATGCTAACTCACCCACCAACATACCCACAGCAACAACGAAAATGCATCCCTCGTGAAACGCGATAATAAATTACATGCGTGCTCCTTAGAGAATTCGTAAAGTTACTGGGAGATTAGACAATTTGGAGTGTGAGCAAAAGACAACGTTTTCTGAAGTTCAGGGATGGAATATTAAGCGTGTGCAAAAGTTTCCAGTGTTTTAAAATTCATGACAAATGAGGAAGACATCTGAGGCAACAGAAATGTGATTCTACAGAAGGATGGTGAGAATACGATGGATCGAACATGTGAGCAACGGCGAAGTTTTAGAGAAAATGGAAACAGAAAGGTAACTTGTACTTATCAGAGAGAGACCAATATGAAATTTCTAGAGCACATTATAAGGAAAGAGGACTTAGGAAATTTGACACTCATAGGGTAGACTGGAGGCAAGATAGACAATGAAAACTACGCATAACCTACCTAAAGTGTTAGTGTAAGTAGTTTGCAGAACAGGGTTTAGGAGAGATAGCAAAAAGACAAACTTTACTAAGAGGCACACAGGAGAGGAAATTGTGGAGAGCCACGATCACCAACGTGCTGAAGGGAAACGGCACATAAAAGTAGAATAAAAAAGGCATATTTAAATAAAATTCTAATTAGAGTGATTTTATTTTCTGGAGAAGGAATCTAGGGTTTTTTTGTCCATACATTTAAGTCTATTGACACATGTAATAAATTGTTTCCTTTTAATTGATTAATTCATGTCGTAAAAATCCTTATTAAATATAAAAATTAAAATATCTTATTACCTAATTTTTAACAGTATTTCAACTCTGTTATAGTTATTTAATTATATTTTTTTAGTCGGGGATATTGCAGTTGAAGGCTGATTTGATTGAAACTTTTCGTATTGATAGATTCGGTTTGCACACGAGCAAATATTTTTCATGATAAATCCGAGCACTTTCGGCTATTCTATTATCCATTAACAAGGATGTTTATCTTTTATTTTTAACTGAGTATATAGATTTTTATATATGTCTATCTATAGTGACGGGAATGTTGTTTTGATTTTCCAAACATGGTCAGCACACTGTGGCCGTATTCATAGTTGAACGTTTGAAATATAAAAAAAACAAAAAATCACCCCCACCACTATACATACACATATAATATAAAAACGTACATACTCAGCTAAAAAAAAAAAAAAAAAAAAAACTTGATTATGGCTTGTAGCCAAAAGTGCTCGGATATATAAAACATTTGGACAGTTTTACATACTTTATGTCCAGAAGAAAATACTCATATGAACACAAGAAAAGAATAAAAAGCTTACACTCAGTACCTTGTCAGTCGGCTTTAACGAAACATGTATAAAAGACGAATTGCTGCCCATATATATATATAAAACAATTGTTTAAAGAAAGATTGTATTTTTTATTTATTAATCTGACAGATTTTATCACTTTAAACGTTATTTTTAGTGGATACATATATTTAAGTAAACGCTTCATTTATTTATTTTCCTCTACCAGCCTGAATATTCAATAAATCTTATTAAAGAAAAATATGCGCTCTTCGACAGGATTCGAACCTGCGTCACCCTGGACAGAGGGAAACCGTCGTTTTTCTGATGCGCTCTAGACTGACTGAACTACGAAGAACTTAGCTGATAAGACAAGGCTGAATAGTGTGCCTTTAAACAAAATTCTTCCCGTCATTGGCTCTCGATATATTTGGTTTGGTTTGTTTTACGGCATATCAACCTCAATGGGTTATTTAATGCCGACAAAATTTTCATTGTTGGTAATATTTTTTTCCAAAAATCTATAATGAATAATAATTTTCCTTCGGTGGTAATATTTGTTTTTCAAAAATGTATTGCTGGTAATAATTTATTTACAAAATATTTCTGGTATTAAAACCTATTTTTACACTTTCATAGTGTTTTGACCACAGTTCGCGCTTTAACTGCTTGCCCATAGCTGGGACCCTAACAAGTGCTACCACCTCGGGTCAGGGTGAAACGGGAAACACCAGTAATTAAGAGGTGGTTCCACACTTCTCAGGACCTCCTGATCAGAGGCCTTGCTGTTGGACGTAGTTTATCGTCTTACCCGGGACGCGGATGTAGTTTATCGTCTTACCCGGGACGCGGATGTAGTTTATCGTCTTACCCGGGACGCGGATGTAGTTTATCGTCTTACCCAGGACAGCTCGGTATATAAATTCTCTTGTGTGGTTTCCTCGGAACGAGTGCTTTAGTCTTTAAAGAACGATAATTTAAAAAAAAAATACTTTACTTACCACAATTGCGAATGTCACAAATTTCTTTCCTGACATCTGGGTTGGTTGTGAAGCACCAAGGACGATCCTCCTCATTGTCAGGATTACGGCAAAAATTATGGTCACCTAGATAAAGATAAAAAAAATTATTTCAGTTGCTTTTAAATTCAGGACTTACAAATGTTTATTTATTTATTTATTTTTTACACAAGATAACGGTTGATAAACATTACAACTTTTCTCTTTCTTTTAATTACTCTACAAATGCTTGAAATCGAAGATCAAAGGACAGATAAAAGGTCAATATACATCTTGCATGCCTGTTCTGCAAAAGCTATTATGTTCAGAAAGGTCATCCAAGAAAAAACAATCAGATGGTCCATAAAACTGTAATAACTGAAATTTCCGTCATTCGCATTTTCAAAGGTTTAATTTATTTATATGTTGTATTAAAACGGGATTGAAAAATCGCCATCTTTCAAAAAAACAAAATCACTTTCTTGTTGGTTGATTAACTGATTTGTTTTTTTTAACGGTTTATCATCCCTTTGCAGTTTATTTAAAGATAATGATTTACGGATCCAAATCCAATTAATTAACTAACCTATAGCTGTTGGATTCATACCTTTCCCAAGGGTATTTAATTGGAACCTGACTGGAATTGGAACTCGGCTCGCGGATTTTCAATTCCGTGCTCTTATCCATTACACCATGCCATCTCTTCCAGTTTCTTCTTTTCTAAACAACTTAAAAAAATGTCAATCGTTATCTTTTGTCTTCTTAATTCCGAGTAGCTTTGTTGGCATGCTTCGGGTGAAATAATTTAAAATATTCTCGAGTAGAGAAATATATATGGAATCGAATCTTGGCAGATTGGACGAAATTTTCATTTTTGTGACTTTTCGGGTTATTTTGGAAGTAAGCAGGGACTTGTATTGAGAAGAAAGCCTATACAGATTTTAGTAGCGTTGGTCAAATGTAGGCTAATTAAACAAACATGCTTGTAGATATTTACTGTTTATACAAACAAGTGGACAATAAATAAGTGACCACTTTTGTATTTCAAGCCAGTTATAAATAGATCCCCCATTTTTTTTTTGGTGATAGCAAGTTCCATATATTTATCTACGTTTGGTTATCAGGTTGGACTGCATTTCGAAACTCAGTGCTATTAAATTTTATAAATGGCGTCACTTCTGGCTTTTTGGGCTACTTTGAAATTAAGAAGGGCTAACATTGGTACGGGAAAATCAATTCAAAATTCAGTGAGCGATGGGCTTTCAAATACAGTGTAACCCGGATATAAGAGACCCGGATATAAGAGAGATTTTCTCTGGTCCCAAATTAGAGCCTGTGTTAATGTAAACAAAATAGACCAAACCCGGATACAAGAGACGACTTCTCCGGTCCCGACAACTCTCTTATATCCGGGTTACACTGTATAGCCCAGTTTGGTAACCCTATGAAACGTTGTAATAAAATGCAACACAAATAGGATGACTGATCAACTAGTATGAATGAACAAGTAAAAATATTTTGTTTTACTAAAATATTTACTCACGTTAATGACGATAATTTATTGTATTCGCTCTATCCCATAATAGTTGGTAATTGATGTTGTTACCTAAGATTTACTTAGCAAAAGGGTCACGAGTACGAGGTACCCAGTAAAGATCAGACTCATTATTCAGTAGCATTGTCTGTCTATATTTCTGAGATGAGGTATTATGTACACTATTTACATTATTCAGACTATTGTCCTCATCAATATGGCGACAAATATGAGGACAATAGTACGGTAGCATTGGTTAACCAAATTACCTCGCTAAAAGCCCTTATATTGGGGTAGATGGAAAAATCTGGATTGTTTCGTCTGTTTCAGACATTAACATACTATCACAATTTCCATAGCAAATGTTCAGATGAGCGCTCCATTCTTTAGCTCCACCAGTTCAGATCTTTACAACGAGGACACGGAGTCGAATCACCGACATATCCGCCGTATTCCATTTGTGAGGAGGAAGTTCATCTCAAACAGTTTTTTTTTCGCCAGTTTTAGTTAGACCAGTTTTCAGCTAGGGCTCGACTTGCTACGTTCACGAAGTCGAATTATTGACGTATCCTAAATTTTTCATTTGTAAGGAGGAACTTCTACTTAGACACCTTTTTATGACAACTGCTATTCTGGGGAATAAACTCCCGCGTGGATGCTTCCCCGAACACTACAATATTAATATTTTTAACTCAAGGGTTAATCGTTATCTATCTTCATAGTCTTCACTTTTTTTTTTTTTTACCTCCTTTTATATTCATATTACACAACACATTCATTTAACACTCTACCCTGAGTCGTTCTTCAGCATTGTATTTGGCTAGCTTTAGTATTAGAAAAGTAAATTTAATTTTTGCCTAATAATTTGGTTTTCAAGACTCGACTTATTCACGAGTGTGTGCGGCAATTGGCACTTTACAACCAAATTAAAGTTTATTCCTTTTAGCTAAAAGAAGAAAAGAAAAGTTTGCGAGTATCGGATTTGCTTGTATTTCTGGGTACAGCCCTCCAATAAATCTTAATTTGGAAATTCTATCTAACCAGAAAAAGGGAAATAAATAATTTATTTTATTTTATTTATTTTGCAGAAATTTGACAGACACAGTAATTCTACGCCTTTCTGAACATTGCATTTCCAGGCTGCACACGTTTATAAGGCGCAGGCTAGGGTTGGGCGAAAAAGAAAATGAGTTTTCAATTGCAGATGTAAGGGAAGTGCGTCATTAATTGAAAGACAAAAGATAAAGCAACTCCCAAATCGCATTTATGAGTTGATGAGCAGCAGACACAAGCATATCTTGCTTTGCAATCTTTGCTTTGCCTGCAATCTACACTCCTTGTCATTTGCAATTTAACTGTTTTGTTTAAAGAGATGTTAGATTGAAGTTAATATGAATTTATCACAACCCAATCTTTTATATATATATATATATATAAATATAAAAAAAAAAAATTACAGTTTCATTTATAACTTTGAATATTGCTTAAACTACTTTAAATATTACTGTCAATTCAGGTCTGGTGCTTCTGCTCTGTATTCAGAGACCCTTGATAAAAGACAAAGAAGAATATGCAATGTTATTGGATCTGACCTGGCATCTCGGCTTCAGTGACGTAGCTTCCCTGTTGATTTCTCTATAAATACTTTCATGGTAACTGTCGTACTAAACTTTCCTCCAGATAAATTGTACACACGGAAACTATTTAGGACTTTATAGAGTTTTTTGGGTATTATGGTGACTGTATTAAGAATGGTAAGTAAGAATGTATTGTTTTGGTGTGAGGTATACTGTGGTATGCTTGGATCAGTAATTGTGGCTAGCGAAGTTTAAGACAAATTGAAGACCAGCTTTCCTCCTCACCTTTCGGACTTGTGCCACATTTTTGTATTACTCAAAATAAATACTAGTTTCCTCTATGGTATCTTGACTTTAGGAATTTAAGTTTAGTACCAGTTTGGCAGCAGGGTCTCACATTTTACATTTGAAATGGCTAGGTGTAACCATAAGTTCTATGCTAACAGTCTCTTCTCGCCCGTGAAACTCTTCCGGCTGTCAATGGCTAACTTCTGTCTTCTTAATTCCAGTTCTTTTATAGTTCTCTCTCATTGATAGTGTTATTTTTCTCGTATTTTATTACACCCAGCAACCCCTTGTATCTTAGCTGCTTTATTGCCTTGCTTGGGGTGAAATGATCAACAAAAACAAAAGAAATCTTAAACTGCTCTCTAAATTGAATGTTATACACACTGATGTCTTAAATGTTATAGGATGTCCCTAGTATAGCCTATGACCCCACTCTAGGGCTCAACGAATTGCAGCAACTCGACGTGGCATTGATTATTCAAGTGGTTGGAGGAACTCTCGAGAAATGTTGAACCCTACAATCTCAGAGGTTTGTAGGTGCGATTAGACGTCTCCACCACGTCCCATAAATATTCGAATGGTTTCATATTGGGTGCATTGTCTTTAGAGTGAAACCAATATGAATTTGATTCTCCACAAAGTCTTTTTCATTTAAAAAAAAAAATTTTTTTCGAAAAATAATTTTCCCGTTTCATTTTTTTAAAGACTTAAACGCACTTTTTTTACAATGACGTGCCAAAACTCGTAATATATGCCAAGCAGGTGAAGTACAGAAATTCAAAGTATCACCGACTTTACAAGTGGTCGAAATACCTCTGATGTGATGCTTCCTGATACTTGTAAGTAATCTTGCGTGGGAATCGACCTCTCTATCTCGTCTCGATTTGGCATGCTAACGTGGTGGCTATATCATTGATCAGAAGTCTCCACAACACTCCTCAGACCAATTCTGGTTATCCTGGACCCGATGACATGGTGCATTATTCTTCTGGAATAACTCCATCGTTCTTGAAATATGTGGAATCCATGAGTGATTGCAACTAGTCACGAAACAGTGTAACGTAATGGCCAAAGTCCCATGACGTGTTCAGGTAGACCTGTATAGACATAAACAACAGTTTGCAAGGTGCCTTATTGACGATAGATCTCATGGGATCAAATACCGTCAGCTCAAAACAACTGGATACATAATCTTTGACCACGACGCATCAGTCCTCAAGGGTTAAATTAGCGAGATCACGTGCTCAGGTGAAATGCTATATTTGTTGTCGTGGTATTAAAGCCTTTGAGCCCTGACCATCGCTTTACCGGTGGTAGAGAAAAATGACGTGATGCCCAACCACCGGTTGAACAGTGGTAGAGAAAACTGACAATGTCCAGCTACCGGTTGAACGGTGGGATTTGCAAATTTTGTCTCAGAAGCCCAGACAGAAAGGTTAAGATTGTTCAGGAACGCAGGCCTCAAAGGGTTAAGAGGTACCCTAGTAGGGGTTCCTGAATTATATCCTATGTAGGAACCTTGATATGACTTGTGAAATATACGTACGATACCTCATATATTGAATATACACACCCTGTACACTCCATAGAAAGACAAAAAAAGAAGAAATTTATTGGCAGAAATGTCCAGCCTCCACAACGAACATCCGTCTCTGACGTTGTGAATTAACGTAATAAAAATATGATCGACCTTCGTATATTGATATAATTTTAATTTCCAATAAACAGCTCTTCAAGTAGCATTATTCTGTTTTAAATTGTGCTTATACAGTTTGTTTTCCGAGAAATTCGAGCTTAAATACACAGGTTAGTAATAGAGAGTTATGTTTCAATGAAAATAACTTAAACAAGTTGTTTTCATTGGAATTATACAAAGAAATGGCCTCAAGGAACTAGAGAGTTTCATTCCTATTGTATTACAGTCTATTTTCAGTAACTATTGGTAGATATATTTTTTAAATCTCAAATCTGCAAAAAGTGACATATGCAAACACATACGTCATCGATTTTCTTGATAACCATTAGTCTCATGACTGGGTGTGGTTTCAGGGTAACTGAACACCTACTAGTTTTTTTTCAAGCTAAGAACTATTTTTATTTCTTTTAATATCTATAAAAGATTAACATTTGCTATGACAAAAAAAAAATCTTGGTCTCACGTTTTCCACTGAAATGAAGAATAATAGCGAGATTAACCATTTCCTTGTAAACAAACATTCGGCATTTATTGACCGAGTACTACAAAAGTTACTCTTTTTTTCACTCCCTGTCCATTGGACAGGGATGGAAGTGTAGTATCTGTTCTTCTCATCACTAATGGTAATATTAACTGTTTCCTTATAAGGAAACATTCGGCTTTCACTGACCGAACAGCCAGTGCTACTTTCACTTGAAATTTTATAAAATATCTTAACCACTTCCTCGGCGTAGACGTGTATATACGTTTTTATCGAAAGTGTCAGACACAGACGAATAAACACGTCCTCCAACCATTTAAAAATTAGCAATAGACGTGTTTATATGTCGATATTGATTCTTTTTGTGCCGTTCTGAGCTTGAATCGACTAATTGCCAACTGATACATCTGGTATTCAAGGTGCCTCAGTTTCTTAGTTACCATATTAAAAACAATTAAAAAAAGATTCCTTTGAAAATGAAAGGTTTTTTTTCCAAAATAATTGGCCTGAAGGGGTTAAAACAATTTTTGAATAAAATAGGTTTCTCGAATCCAGTAGCTGTTATTGCTCTTTATAGTCTTGATGTGGGTGGGGGGATTTGGGGGCTTCTCTTCCTAACCTTTTGCTTGAACTAGCGTAGAACTGTAACGATTATATTTAAGCAATTTGGAAGGTCTGCTGTTAGGAACGTCGTTACACTGTGTCGTGCTAAACAATGTTTCTCGCCAGTAATCTATCTTACACATTTATAAAACCTACCATTCATCCCTGCGTCAAATATTGCTGCTGCGTCTCGTCTGGGGTCTCTGCTATAAGCCAAAGACGAATCCCTAACGTTATCGGCGTTGCCCTGGCATCTCAGCTTCAGTCATTTTCCCACAGACGTAAAGTAGCTTCCCTGTAACTTTTCTGATAAATATTCTCACTATAATTGTTCCAGTGAACTTTCCTCTTTGGTTACCTCAACTTCACAGATATAATCGCAGTACTAGATTGGCACTTAGGTCTCATTGTTGAAATTGCTAGTTCCCACCGTAAGTTCCATGCTAATACTTTCTTCTCCCACACTTCTCGCTCGTGAAACTCTTCCCACTTTCTTGTTAACTAAGATCTTAAAACATTAATTGCAATATCAATCATTGTCATCTGTCTCCTTGAACTCTGTTCTTTTATTGTCCTCTGTTTTTTTTTCACTCTCAGTAACCCCTTGCATCTATTGGCTTTTATTGCCTTGTTTGGGGTGAAATGAAAATAAAAGAACTGAAGATATTGACTGGTCCAAAGGAAACATCGGAAACTACAGAGTTCTATAAAATACACTTTTTCATTTTTCTATGTATGTATGATTATATATAAGGGGTTTCAAAAGTCTATGTTACATTCTAAGAAATCATGAGCTAAAAATGGTAGCATAATTGAATTTAGTACCATTTAAAAGCTAAAAGTGTCAAGCTTTCTTTTGTTAGCTTTCGGCAAATATAAACTGCATTTTGATATCCTAAATAGTTAAGATATACAGTGTCGTAATGTGACACAGACTTTTTAAACACCTTGTATAATGACAAAAAACACCTTTTCTAATTTATTCATCATATATTTGAGCTGACGATGATGAGTTTTGTCGAAAAATTTAATTAGATTTTGTAAATAATCATAAGATCGAAGAATAATTCAAATGTCCAGATAAAAATGGAGGAAATAAAAAGTTTGACAAATTTAAACTATTCTTAAATATTCTTTAAATAAAGCATTTATGTAATAGAACAGTTAAGATTTATTAAATTTAGTTTTCAGTTTGCATCTCTTAGACTAAGTTCTACCAGTCTACCATGCTTATTCAACCCACAGCTACGGGTAGTAGAAATGGTTCCATATCTTTCTCAATGTCATTAGTGTGAAAGGGAACTTAACAGAGTTGACAAGAATTTGATATCGTGTTTGCCGATTCAACATTCGGGGTCAATGTTCGTTACGCTTGACACATCTCCCGGCCGTGCATTAAAAATCAGAAAAAAACAAAAAAAAAAAAAAAAATGTGTATTATCAGTGGTTAAGATTTTAGGTAATCATTATCCACAGAAAACATGATTATAATTAGAATGTAAAAATGCGGAACTACTTAAAAATAGCGGTCCACTCGTAAAAATTGTCAGGGAAGAATTTTTGTAGAAAATCCTTAGATCTTTCTCAAACTTCGACAATTGTCAGAAATAAAAAAAAAAAATTAAATTTAGAAGAGGGTGTCCTGTTCATAACATCGATACAGTGTATATCTTACTTTTTACAAACATCAAACTGGGAGGTACCCAGTCATTTCACTAATTGTCAATAGTCGGTGAAATTAACTACCGTACCATATAATGTGGTAGGAAGTCACAAGTGTAAGGCACCATCAAGTGAAACATTGAATTCAATGAACTTTCAAACTATCTGCCTGATTGACTGATTATCGCAATTTAATCGAGGACAGGGCCACGAGGGAGAGGCACCCAGAAAAGTTCGAACGCCCTACATGAACAGTGTGCGCGAACATCGTGCTGACCATCACTTTATGACAGGCACCCTGGAAAGATGAGAGTGACATTGCGAATAAACAAATTCTTTTCTTTGTTTGCAACAAACCAGAACGAATTTCAAATGCTGTGAAAGTATTTTTTTAATCGCTACCACTCATTCCCTCGATGTCCGGGGAGGCCTGGTTAATAGGTTAGGGTATAACGATTATCTTTTATTTATTTAATTTCTTTCCTCCTCCTTCTCCCGACTTCTTTCCTTCTCCTTTCTTTCTTTCGAAGTCTTTCCTTCTTTCGAAGTCTTTCCTTCTTTCGAAGTCTTTCCTTCTTTCGAAGTCTTTCCTTCTTTCGACTTCTTTCCTTTCTTTCGACTTCTTTCCTTCTCCTTTCTTTCTTTCTTTCGACTTCTTTCCTTCTCCTTTCTTTCTTTCTTTCGACTTCTTTCCTTCTTTTCTTTCTTTCTTTCGAAGTTCTCCTTTCTTTCTTTCTTTCGACTTCTTTCCTTCTCCTTTCTTTCGACTTCTTTCCTTCTCCTTTCTTTCGACTTCTTTCCTTCTCCTTTCTTTCGACTTCTTTCCTTCTCCTTTCTTTCTTTCTTTCGACTTCTTTCCTTCTCCTTTCTTTCTTTCTTCCGACTTCTTTCCTTCTCCTTTCTTTCTTTCTTTCGACTTCTTTCCTTCTCCTTTCTTTCTTTCTTTCGACTTCTTTCCTTCTCCTTTCTTTCTTTCTTTCGACTTCTTTCCTTCTCCTTTCTTTCTTTCTTTCGACTTCTTTCCTTCTCCTTTCTTTCTTTCTTTCGACTTCTTTCCTTCTCCTTTCTTTCTTTCTTTCGACTTCTTTCCTTCTCCTTTCTTTCTTTCGACTTCTTTCCTTCTCCTTTCTTTTCTTTTCTTTCTTTCCTTCTCCTTTCTTTTCTTTTCTTTCTTTCCTTCTCCTTTCTTTTCTTTTCTTTCTTTCCTTCTCCTTTCTTTTCTTTTCTTTCTTTCCTTCTCCTTTCTTTCTTTCGACTTCTTTCCTTCTCCTTTCTTTCTTTCTTTCGACTTCTTTCCTTCTTTCTTTCGACTTCTTTCCTCCGACTTCTTTCCTTCTCCTTTCTTTCTTTCTTCCGACTTATTTACTTCTCCCGACTTCTTTCACCTTATTCTCGTCTCCATATTCAATTCTTTCTTCCTTTATTTTCCTTCTCGTTCCTCCTCTCTTCCTTTTTTCTTCTTCTCCCCATCTTCATCTATTTATTTCTTTCTCTCTTTCTTTATTTCCATCTTCGCCTTTTTGTTGCTCCCTCTTCCAACTCTCATTCGCATTTTCTGTCTTTCTCTCTTATTAACTTCATTTGACATGATACATTGAGAATATGCTGAACAGAGTTGATCGGGATAAGTTAAGTGGGTGCGGCTGGACTGAGGAGGACAACTCGACTGATTCATGTGTCATTATGGTAAACAGAAGAAGAAGAAGAAGAAAGATCGGAGAGAAGAAGCAAGAGAAAAAAATGGCGAAAAGAGAGAAAGAAGAAGAAGTGACTGGACATTTCTCTGGACTTTGATGAAAGACAAAAGGAGGCAGTTGTTCATTTATTGAATTGTTTAGACAGTGCCTTCATCTGACAGCTTTGTAAATTTGAATTTAGATGAAACTCTTCTTGGTGCGAGAGCAAGGCTGGGAGGAGGGGGAGGCGAAAAGTTCTGATTGGGGGAGCGGGGAAAATAATTGAGACGGACATAAATTTTGCCGGGAAGAATAAGTTACGGTATAGAGAGAGAGAGAGGGGGGGATATTGGTAAACTGATCCAGAAATAGAGTAGAATTGGCTCGGGTGTAGCGGAGAAAGAGGTAAAAATGGATGGAGGGATGGTGGGTAATATATATGTAAGAAGGAAAGTGGAGACACGTGGAAGGAAGGAAGGGTCGGGAGAAAGTAGAATTAGGTAATGAGATTCATAAGATCGGAATGAAAAATAGGGAACATTCAGGGAAAGAAATCAATAGGACGTTTGTTACACTGGAAACTACATGGGTCATGGAGTACAAGAACGGTGCCTTTCATTATTGAGAAATAATATGGTACACAGCTGTTGAGAGAAAAACACACAATATATATATATATATATATATATATATATATATATATATATATATATATATATATATAATAATATATAAAAAAAAAAAAAAAAAAAAAAAAGAATAAAGCAATTAAGAGGTCAATGGAAAGTACTAAAACAAACCCTACCAATAGAAAACATGGGGAAAAAAAAAAAGAATGCTCAATGGATATAGCATTAAAAAAAACAAAATGGGGAAACAAAATCAAGTCAGTCAGGAATCTGCTCGAGGTGTTATATTTGTGAACACACACACAATATATATATAGCGTATACTTTTGCAGCATGTTTTCAGTGAGGCATTTTTTTCACTGAATAATTTTGAGAAGTTTAGTCTACTTCTTTTCAATTGGTTTCTTTCATATTCACGGACGAGATTTATGGTGTTATTATTACAGGAACCGTCTTGATACATATTTATTTATTCTGGGTACTTTCGACTTTAGCACAATGTCTTCATCGGAGTGTTTTTTTTTTTTCAAGATAAATATAATAGTGCTTATCATTTTCAAAGACAAAATCGCTGTGTTCATCTGAAAGTTAAACATTTTTTTTATGTGAAGCGAAAAAAATGAGTGGAATTAGCGAGTAACACTTCAGGGGAGGTAACTAAGTAATAACGTGTCAAGATTTTTTTTTTTTCAAATAAGTATTAAGAACTGTTGGTACAAACCTCAGTACTTTAAACTATCAATTATGCACATTTTAAAACATTCGTGCAGTATTCGTAATTTTATTTTGGTTTGATTTCAATTTTTATGTATCAACACCGTAATTTTCTCTTCCCCTTTAATAACGACACCAAAAATCTCGTCCACGAATATGAAAGGATCCAAGTGAAATCAAAGCTAAAATTATTCAAAATATAACTAAAATTTATATATTTATATATATATATATATATATATATATATATATATATATATATACACACACACACACACAGCTCTATATTGATTTGGCTTCCCATTTAGGGTTTCTTAATGATATGGACATTGAGCATTCTTCCTTTTTTTTTACCCTAGGTCTTGTATTGATAGGTTTTATTTCAATATTTTCCCAAGACCTTTTAACTGCTTTATTCTTATATATATATATATAATTATTATGTTCTCACTTTAAACAGGATATTTAGTGGATATTCATATCTGGGTAGAAGTTAAATGAGAAAGCGAGAAAGAAAACAGAAGATAAAAAGTGAAAAGAAAACACTGAGAAGATACGCCCGCGTTCATCATCTCGTTCTATTAAAATAAACTTTTTGCTGAAAAGCAAGAAAAGCTACATGTGAAAGAGTTAACCTTTTTGGTATTAAATTTGTAAAATCAGTCCCTTTGTGGGAGAAGGATCCCATATTAGTTCAAAGTTCGCCCCTGTCTATCATCAAGTATAGGTTAATTATGTTAAAATACAATAAAATAAAGAAATAAAAACCGAGTCACTTTTTCAAAACTCCCATCTATGAAGAGTTCCTATTTATCATCGAAAGTAACATATGGAGAGTATATTTATTATCTCAGTGGGAAAATGAATCGTAAAGCAGAAAAATGGGAGAAAAAATAACCGTTAGCATTATATAAATAAATAAAAATAATTAAACTGATTTTTAGGCGCCAGATTTTGAAACTATCAAACAAATGAAAAAAAGAAAAAGCCAAACAGAAAGGGGAAAGACAGAATTAATAAAAATGGCCTTAATTGTAATTCTTGCCTCGTTTATTTGTCTTATCTACAGTACCAAATCACACCGGAAGAAAGTGAAAGTGAGAAAAAAAAGATAAGAAAGGGGGACAAATGAAAGAAATTGAGAGATTGAGAAGAGAAAGAAAAAGATGGAAAGAAAGAAAGGATAAACAAGATGGAAAGAAAGAAAGGATAAACAAGATGGAAAGAAAGAAAGGATAAACAAGATGAAAAGAAAGAAAGGATAAACAAGATGAAAAGAAAGAAAGGATAAACAAGATGAAAAGAAAGAAAGGATAAACAAGATGAAAAGAATGAAAAAGATGAAAAGAAAAAGGAAAGAAAGAATGAAAAAGATGAGGTAAAAGTTTTCTTTTTTAAAAGAAATCGGGTAAAAGCAGAATGAAAAATGAAAAGAACATGAAAAGATGAAAAAGAGAAACAAAAAGGAAAAAGAAAAAAATAGAGAAACAAGATAAAAGTTGAGTAAAATGAATAAGGAGAAAAGGGAAGTAAAGAAATGAATAGTACAAAAAATGGGGAAAAGAGAAGAAAAGAGAAAAGAAGCGAGAGAAGAGAGGCGAGAGAGGAAAGGAAAGCGAGGGAAGAAAGAAGAGCGAGGGAAGAAAGAAGAGCGAGGGAAGAGCGAGGGAAGAAAGAAGAGCGAGGGAAGAAAGAGGGGCGAGGGAAGAGCGAGAGGCGAGGGAAGAAAGAAGAAGAAAGAGAGAAGAGCGAGGGAAGAAAGAAGAGCGAGGAAGAGCGAGGAAGAAAGAAGAGCGAGGGAAGAGCGAGAGAAGAAAAGAAGAGCGAGGGGAAGAGAGAAGAAAGAGGAAGAAAGAAGAGCGAGGGAAGAGCGAGAGAAGAAAGAAGAGCGAGGGAAGAGAGAAGAGCGAGGGAAGAAAGAAGAGCGAGGGAAGAGCAAGAGAAGAAAGAAGAGCGAGGGAAGAGCGAAGAGCGAGAGAAGAGAGAAGAGCGAGAGAAAGAAGAGCAAGAGAAGAAAGAAGAGCGAGGGAAGAGCGAAGAGCGAGGGGCGAGGGAAGAGCGAGAGAAGAGCGAGAGAAAAAAGAAGAGCAAAAGAAAGAAGAGCAAGAAAAGAAAGAAGAGCGAGGGAAGAAAGAAGAGCAAGAGAAGAGCGAGAGAAGAAAGGAGAGCGATAAAAAAGGGAAATGAAGAAAAGCGGAAACAGAGAAGGTAAGAGATAAAAGGGAAAAAGAAAACAGAATAACAATCAGGGGGAAAAAAAAGAAAGAAGAAAGAAATTCGAAAAAGAGAAAAACTTTAACGTCAAGGACAAAATTTATATGAAGAATGCTAAAAAAGTTTCCAAAAAGCTGTTTTTCTGTAATTTGATATTGACAAAAAATAATGATGATAAAAATAATCAAAAAATACGACTGTTAAAATAAATCTGCTCTGACTACAAATAGGACAAGTGGGGGTAGAGAGTATTTTGAATGGAACTGGAAATTTGCGTTTATTCGACAAACACCACCACTGTCACAATCGCGTCCACCTCCCGCGGTCCTGCAATAAAAAAAAAACGTATCTTTCTACTGTTTGTTTCTCTACGTTTGCCTATCAT